GTCAGTGCCCTCCTAACCATACCCAAGCACTACGAGTTTCTTGGCAATGTTCATTTTGCTCTACGAGTTCATGGTGACCTAACCCTAACCCTAAGTGGAATTTTCCTAAATGGGATTTTCCCATGTATTTTATCAGGAAATATAGATAGGGCAGGCTGGAAAGCTCAGTGCCCTGCTAAATATACCCAAGCACTCCGGGTTTGTTGGCAATGTCCATTTTGCTCTACGAGTTCATGGTGACCTAACCCTAACCCTAAGTAGAATTTTCCTAAATGGGATTTTCCCATGCATTTTACCAGGAAACATAGAAAAGGCAGGGTGGAAAGATCAGTGCCCTCCTAACCATACCCAAGCACTCTGAGTTTGTTGGCTATGTCCATTTTGCTCTACGACTTCATGGTGACCTAACCCTAACCCTAAGTGTAATTTTCCTAAATGGGATTTTCCCATATATTTTACCAGGAAATATAGATAGTGCAGGATAGAAAAGTCAATGCCCTCCTAATTATACCCAAGCACTCCTAGTTTTTTGGCAGTGTCTATTTTGCTGTAAGAGTTCATGGTGACTTAACCCTAACCATAAGTGGAATTTTCTTAAATGGAATTTTCCCATGTATTTTTCCAGGAAATATAGATAGGGCAGGCTGGAAAGGTCAGTGCCCTCCTAACCATACCCAAGTAGTCTGAGTTTGTTGGCGAAGTCCATTTTGCTCTTGGAGTTCATGGTGACCTAACCCTAAGTGGAATTTTCCGAAATGGGATTTTCCCATTGTTTTTACCAGGAAAAATACATACGGCAGGCTGGAAAGGTCAGTGCCCTCCTAACCATACCCAAGAACTCCGAGTTAGTTGGCAATGTCCATTTTGCTATACGAGTTCATGGTGACGTAACCCTAGCCCTAAGTGAAATTTTCCTAAATGGGATTTTGCCATGTATTTTATCAGGAAACATAGACAAGGCAGACTGGAATCCTCAGTGCCCTCCTAAGCATACCCAAGCACTCTATGTTTCTTGGCGATGTCCATTTTGCTCTACGAGTTCATGGTGACCTAACCCTAATCCTAAGCGGAATTTTCTTAAATGGGATTTTCCCATGTATTTTACCAGGAAATATAGATAGGGCAGGCTGGAAAGGTCAGTGCCCTGCTAAACATACCCAAGCACTCCGAGTTTCTTGGCAATGTCCATTTTGCTCTACGAGTTCATGGTGACCTAACCCTAACCCTAAGTAGAATTTTCCTAAATGGGATTTTCCCATGCATTTTACCAGGAAACATAGAAAAGGCACGGTTGAAAGATCAGTGCCCTCCCAACCATACCCAAGCACTCTGAGTTTGTTGGGTATGTCCATTTTGCTCTACGACTTCATGGTGACCTAACCCTAACCCTAAGTGGAATTTTCCTAAATGGGATTTTCCCATATATTTTACCAGGAAATATAGATAGTGCAGGATAGAAAAGTCAATGCCCTCCTAATTAAACCTAAGCACTCCTAGTTTTTTGGCAGTGTCTATTTTGCTGTAAGAGTTCATGGTGACTTAACCCTAACCATAAGTGGAATTTTCTTAAATGGAATTTTCCCCTGTATTTTTCCAGGAAATATAGATAGGGCAGGCTGGAAAGGTCAGTGCCCTCCTAACCATACCCATGTAGTCTGAGTTTGTTGGCGAAGTCCATTTTGCTATACAAGTTCATGGTGACCTAACCCGAGCCCTAAGTGGAATTTTCCTAAATGGGATTTTCCCATGTATTTTATCAGGAAACATAGATAAGCCAGACTGCAATCCTCAGTGCCCTCCTAACCATACCCAATAACTCTGTGTTTGTTGGCTATGTCCATTTTGCTCTACGAGTTCATGGTGACCTAACACTAACTGGAATTTTCCTAAATAGGATTTTCCCATGCATTTTTCAAGGAAACATACATAGTAAAGGTTGGAAAACTATACCCAAGCACTCCAAGGTATTTGGCAATGTCCATTTTTCTCTATGAGTTCATGATGACCTAACCCTAACCCTAAGTGGAATTTTCCTAAATGGGATTTTCCCATGTATTTTACCCGGAAACATAGATAATGCAGAATAGAAAAGTCAATGCCCTCCTAATTATACCCAAGCACTCTATGTTTGTTGGCAATGTCCTTGTCTATGTTTCCTGATAAAATACATGGGAAAATACCTTTTAGGAAAATTCCACTTAGGGTTAGGGTTACGTCACCATGAACTCGTATAGCAAAATGGACATTGCCAAAAAACTCGGAGTGCTTGGGTATGGTTAGAAGGCCACTGACCTTTTCAGAATGACCTACCTATGATTCCTGGTAAAATAGATTGGAAAATCCCTTTTAGGAAAATTCCACTTAGAGTTAGGTCACCATGAACCCATAGAGCAAAATGGACATTGCCATCTAACTCGAAGTGCTTGTGTATGGTTAGGCGGGCACAGACCTTTCCAGCCTGCCTTGTCTATGTTTCCTGATAAAATACATGGGAAAATCCCTTTTAGGAAAATTCCACTTAGGGTTAGGTTTAGGTCACCATGAACTCGTAGAGCAAAATGGACATCGCCAACAAACTCGGAGTACTTGGGTATGGTTAGGAGGGCACTGACTTTTCCAGCCTGCCCTATCTATATTTCCTGGTAAAATACATGGGAAAATCCCATTTAGGAAAATTCCACTTAGGGCTAGGGTTAGGTCACCATGAACGTGTATAGCAAAATGGACATTGCCAACAAACTCGGAGTTCTTGGGTATGGTTAGGAGGGCACTGACCTTTCCAGCCTTCACTATGTATTTTTCCTGGTAAAAACAATGGGAAAATCCAATTTCGGAAAATTCCACTTAGGGTTAGGTCACCATGAACTCCTAGAGCAAAATGGATATCACCAACAAACTCAGACTACTTGGGTATGGTTAGGAGGGCACTGACCTTTCCAGCCTGCCCTATCCATATTTCCTGGAAAAGTACATGGGAAAATTCCATTTAAGAAAATTCCACTTATGGTTAGGGTTAGGTCACCAAGAACTCTTACAGCAAAATAGACAGTGCCAAAAAACTAGTAATGCTTGGGTATAATTAGGAGGGCATTGACTTTTCTATCCTGCACTATCTATGTTTCTGGGTAAAATACATGGGAAAATCCCATTTAGGAAAATTCCAGTTGGTGTTAGGTCACTATGAACCCGTAGAGCAAAATGGATATTGCCAACAAACTCAGAGTGCTTGGCTATGGCTAGGAGGACACTGAGGATTCCAGTCTGCCTTGTCTATGTTTCCTGACAAAATACATGGGAAAATCCCTTTTAGCATAATTCCACTTAGGGTTAGGTCACCATGAACCCGTAGAGCAAAATGGATATTGCCAACAAAATCAGAGTGCTTGGGTAGGGTTAGGAGGGCACTGAGGATTCCAGTCTGCCTTGTCTATGTTTCCTGGTAAAATACATGGGAAAATCCCATTTAGGAAATTTCCACTTAGGGTTAGGGTTAGGTCACCATGAACTCGTATAGCAAAATAGACATTGCCAACAAACTCAGAGTGCTTGGGTACAGTTAGGAGAGCACTGTACTTTCCAGTTTGCCCTATCTATATTTCCTGGTAAAATACAAGGGAAAATCCCATTTTAGAAAATTCCACTTTGGGTTAGGTCACCATGAACTCGTAGAGCAAAATGGACATTGCCAACAAACTCGGAGTGCTTGGGTATAGTTAGGAGGACACTGACTTTTCCAACCTCTACTATGTATGTTTCCTGGAAAAATGCATGGGAAAATCCTATTTAGGAAAATTCCACTTAGGGTTAGGTCACCATGAACTCGTAGAGCAAAATGGACATTGCCAACAAACTCGGAGTGCTTGGGTATAATTAGGAGGGCATTGACTTTTCTATCCTGCATTATGTATGTTTCCGGGTAAAATACATGGGAAAATCCCATTTAGGAAAATTCCACTTAGGGTTAGGGTTAGGTCATTATGAACTCATAGAGAAAAATGGACATTACCAAGTACCTTGGAGTGCTTGGGTATAGTTAGGAGGACACTGACTTTTCCAACCTCTACTATGTATGTTTCCTGGAAAAATGCATGGGAAAATCCTATTTAGGAAAATTCCACTTAGGGTTAGGTCACCATGAACTCGTAGAGCAAAATGGACATTGCCAACAAACACAGAGTGCTTGGGTATGGTTAGGAGGGCACTCAGGATTGCAATCTGCCTTGTTTATGTTTCCTGATAAAATACATGGGAAAATCCCATTTAGGAAAATTCCACTTAGGGTTAGGGTTAGGTCACCATGAACTCGTAGAGCAAAATGGAGATCACCAACAAACTCGGAGTGCTTGGGTATGGTTAGGAGGGCACTGACCTTTCCAGCCTGCCCTATCTATATTTCCTGTTAAAATACATGGGAAAATCCCATTTAGGAAAATTCCACTTTGGGTTAGGGTTAGGTCACCATGAACTCGTAGAGCAAAATGGACATTGCCAACAAACTCGGACTGCTTGGGTATGGTTAGGAGGGCATTTACTTTTCCAGCCTGCTTTATCTATGTTTCCTGATAAAATACATGGGAAAATCCCATTTAGGAGAATTCCACTTAGGGTTAGGGTTAGGTCACCATGAACCCGTAGAGCAAAATGGACATTGCCAACAAACTCGGAGTGCTTGGGTATAGTTAGGAGGGCACTGACCTTTCCAGCCTGCACTATGTATGTTTCCTGGTAAAAACAATGGGAAAATCCCATTTCGGAAAATTCCACTTAGGGTTAGGGTTAGGTCACCATGAACTTGTAGAGCAAAATGGACATTACCAACTAACTCGGAGTGCTTGGGTATGGTTACGAGGGCACTGACTTTTCTCGGCTGCCCTATCTATGTTTCCAGGTAAAATACATGGGAAATTTCATTGGAGGAATATTCCACTTAGGGTTAGGTTATGATGCCTCTTTCAGCAGCCATGCAACCTCCTGGTGACCAGTGGATCTGCTTCCCATTCATTTTCTGTCCTGCAGAAATCAACTTACTTCTTCTTTTAGCCACTCGTATTCTTTAATCTCCCTGCGGCTGATCTTGTCTATGTGCTTAACAGCATTCTGTGAAAATAATCCGAATACACCAAAAATCAAAACTGTAATCTTTGCATTGATAGAAACAAGACAAAAAAGTTAAGGCAAGATGCCACAGGTATATATCAGAAATGTCACACCACTCTGTCCGTTTTGTTTTCCTGCACCTATTAATTTAGCAACTAATGATATGTAGTAAAGGTGAGTCCTCAACTTATGACTGTAATGGAACCTACCCATCATAGTTGTAAATCATGATGGTTCTAAATTGGCTTGCCCACATGACCAGCCTGATTTTACAATTTTTGTAGTGGTTATTAAGCCAACACTGAGGTTGTGAGGTGATTGTTACAATCATTAAGTAAACAATGCAGTCATCAAGCAAACCAATATTTGCTCTGGACTGGTTTTGCTGAACCCACAAAGTAATTGTCAGTCTCTGGAAAAACCATCATAAAATGTGATTGCTAAGCACCAGAAATATGATCAAATGACTATGGGAGGATAAGATGTTGAAGCTTTGGAACTGGGGGAGAGGTCCATCATAATTTTGAACAGCTTTAAGTCAAGAACTACTTGTATAAAGGCATTATAATGTTCTAGATTAGAATAATGTATCTATACTATCCACGGTATATTCAACAACATCAGCTACTGAAAAGGAATTTGGTAGTATTTTTTCCAGGTAAGAAACCTGTGTCTTAAAAGACACAAGTTTTTATGTTGCATCTTTTTTATATGACTATTAATAAAATGTTATTAAATGGTACCACTTGATTCCTCCTGAATTTCGCACCATAGATAAACATGACTCTCTCCTACTAAGTTTACTGAAGCTAAACAAAACACGTAAACTAAGAGGATAACAGAACTGCTAAGAAGAATTGTTTTGCTAAGTGGCTGGAATGTGATTGTGTGATTGCAGGCACAGTGCAGTAATTGTAACTTTGAGGACAGGTCATAAGTTTTTTGTTTTAGTCCATTATAACCTTGAATAGTTGCTAAGTGACCAGTGATAAGTCGAAGCTTCTGTATGCCGTCCTTTTCTATTTCTCCCTCCTGTGTTGAGATTTCAAGTCCCAGAATTCATGAGTGTGACTGGGGCATTCTGGGAAATTTCCAATGTATCAGGCACAAGCTAACTCTGAAAAACCAGATCAGGAGATGCCTCTGAGTGTCTGGAATAGCAAAATCAAACATACCTCAGTGGCCCATTCTTTCTTTAACTCCAACTGTCTCAAAGTGTTTTTGTCAATTTTATCCTTTGCTTCTTCCAAAGAAATTCTAAAAAATTCTTAAAAAGAGAAGAGGGTGGTTAGGAGATGGAACATGCATAAAAAAGATCTACGGTCAAGCCTTTTTAAGATGCTATCCAGAATGTAAATTATTCCAGAATTAAAGACAGGAATTCTGGTTTCTCTCAACTTTGTGTTACCATATAATTCAATGTTACTTGAGCAATGATTGTACAGTCTCTCTAAAAAAATGAAGTGCAAATTTTTTGCTTTTTTGGCCAATACACAAAGCTTTCTTCAACTAGTGTTTCCAGATGTTTTCTTTCTGCTGTTCCCAAAGTTTCCCACCAGCACAGCCAAGAGGAATACAGGCTCCTGAAACATCTGGAAGACGCTATGTTGATTCAGCCCTGTGGTTCCATCTGTCCTGAGTTTCTCCAACTTAACATCTGGAAATAATTAGGAATGGGAACTTCTTGACTCCACACTTGACATTACACTGAATCGGCCAACTGGCAATACAGAAATAAGCGGGATGAGGATCTTACAGTGTTTCTCAACCTTGACAATTTTAAGGCATGTGGACTTCAACTCCCAGAATTCCACAGCCAGCAATGCTGGCTGTGGAATTCTGGGAGTTGAAGTCCACATGCCTTAAAATTGTCAAGGTTGAGAAACACTGTAAAGTTAGGATATTAAATTTAGCGGCTGGAACAGTGGAGTGTACAAAGATCCAGGACACACAGTGGTAGTTGATTGGTTGGAGAGTGCTGACTCCTGCATGAGGCAATCTACACTATCATTGGTTGCTGTGAGTGTAAAGGGGGAGTTTCCCTTTTTTCCCGCCTTTTTCTTCTGTGCGCTTTTTCCCCCGCCTTTTTCTTCAGCTTGCTCTGTATGGTTTGGGACTAACAGAATATGAATGACCTGCTCAAAGAGCCAATCATCACTCTTTATCTCAGCCCCACCTACTCTACTGGGTTGTTCTTGAGGGGAGAAAACTGAAGAAGGATGTTTGATGAATGCATGTCATCTTTTACTGCTGAAGAAAAAGTGGGATATAAGTTTAAAAATGCAAAAACTCTCTCCTCCATGTCTGCAGGTTATAAACTAGTGGTGCCAAGGCTATTAGGTGTATCAAATTCTATTTGGAATGAAGACAATTCCAGGAGCGCTTTGAAGTTTCTGAAAGTAGCCTCCTCTTCTCTTAAGATCACATGGCAGCGGTGAGGAAGTTTTTACACAGCCCCGTTTGCTACAATTGCAGGTATGCAAGTATCACCACCCAATGGCTACCTCGGAAATTGGATATGTCATTAGATTGAGATGAACACGGCAATTCACTGTTCCCAAAGTTGACCTCAGTCTGGAATTAAAGAGAATCAACAGAAATGGAATGATGGCGACAGCTTGTCCTAAAGGTGCTTTTTCAAAAGTCAACTGACTTTCTTTGTTTTTGGGCTTGAAGAAGTTTTGCTTCTCATCCAAGAGGCTTCTTCGGTTCTGACTGAATGGTGGGGAATGGAAGGATTTATATTCCTTGCAGTCATCTGGTTGTTAGCACTCTGAAGTTGGGTCATTAGCTCTCTGAGAATCATTAAGGCCACTTGGGGTTTATCTGTACCCTCAGGGTCACCTGAATCAGAGTGCAAATGGGTGTGGAGCCTTCTTGGAATCGCTGAAAGGACTGTGTTGTAAACGGGATAGGTGGTGCCATATCCCTCCCCCTCTGTTGATAGAGAGCTGCTCAATTTTAATATAGATGGCTTCTTTTGCCCCTCTTTCAAACCAGTGGTCCTCTCTGTCTAGAATGTGGATTTTGCTATCTTCAAAGATAAACCCCCCAATTGGCCTCAATGAGTGTCAGAGAGCTGACAACTGACCTTCAGAGTGCTAATGGCCAGATGACTACAAAAATATAAATCCTTCCATTCCCCACCCACTCAGTCAGAACCCAGGAGGCTTCTAGGATGAGAAGTGAAATGTCTTCAAGCAAACAAAGAAGCTCCAGTTGCCTTTTGAAAAAGCACTTTTGGGATAGCCATGACCTGGATGACTAAGAATCTCCATTAACCCGGTGATAGTTTGAAACCAACTTCTTAGTAGGCCTCTAACAGACCCTTACCTGTCATTTCGTCAAGATCTTCCTTCAACTTTTTAATATCCTGTTCCAAGAACTGAATCTGAGTTGAGTGATCGGTGCTTCCCACATTTTTGTAAGCAGTCCAGTAGTCTATTTCAGTTTGTTTTTGGATAAGTTTCTGTTCAACATAATGTATCTGGAAACGCATATCTAGTGCAAGGCAACAAGGCATCATTTTCAGTCCAGTTATAGTATGAATAACAGTGGTTGCTTCACAGAACTATTGACAAATATAGGGAGACCTGTATTTATACTAGGACTCAATGTACCGACTTCCCAAACCAATTAACATCACAAGTGTCATGACTTCTTTCACAAGTGATGCGGTTTTGTTTTTATTTTTACTTTTATATTTAGATCCTGCTTGTTCCTCAGAAGCTTAAGGCAGCATGATAGCATTTCCTGTTCCCATTTTTCTCAGAAGCCATGGCTCTATGACAGGGGTCTCCAAACCTGACCACTTCATGAACTTCAATTCCCAGAAATCCCCAGCCAGCATGACGAATTCTGGGAGTTGAAGTCCACAAGTCTTAAAATAGCCGTGATTGGAGATGCCTGCTCTGTGAGATAAATTGAGAAGAATTTAAAAAAGTAGCCCCACGTCATCTAGTGAATTTATGTGGCCAAGGGTAGACTAAAATCTGAAGATTCTCCTCTTTTTTTTGATCAAACCTTTTATTAGTTTATAATATACGATACAATGAAAATACAAAAGTAAATAGCGGAAAAGATGGGGAAGGGAAAAAGGAGTAGAGAAGTGAGGTAAGGGAGAAAAAAAGAAGAAAAAAAAGACATTGACTTATGACTTCCTTCGGTGCAATAGAATATCAGCTTCAAACCTCGACTTTTTACTTATACAAAATAATATAAACAAGCCATTTCAATAACATCAAGTCTATCTAATCGGTAAAACCCACAATCAAAGTTTCATTTTTTTCCACCTCAAGAAAATTCTCCTCTTAACCACTTCACCTTGCCAACTATCTTAGTTTTTAGATTTATGCTTGCCTCTCATTCAGGTGCTCAAAATGGAACAGGTACAGGTAGTCCTCTATTTACGACCACAACTGAGCTCAACATTTCCATTGCTAACCTAGACAGTTGTTAAGTAAGTTTTGCCTCAGTTGACGACTTTTCTTGCCACAATTATTAAGTGAACCACTGCAGTTGTTAAGTTAGTAGTACGTCTGATAAGTGAATCTGGCTTCCTCATTGACTTTGCTTGTCAGAAGGTCACAAAAGGGGATCACGTGACCTCAGGAAATTGCGACCATCATAAATTCTGGCCAGTTGTCAAACATCCACATTTTGATCAAGTGACCACGGGAATGGTGCAACGATCATTAAGTGTGAAAACGGTCATAGTTCCTTTTTTCAGTTCATTGTAACTTTGAACGGTCAATAAATGAATGGTTGAAAGTTGAGGACTACCTGTACACCTGTCCCCAATTTTTTCCCCATCAGCATCAAAGGAGCCACTCAGGAACATCCTATGGGGAAAAAATCCTTAAAACCCTCCCGAAATTATCCTTGTTCTTTATCCCTCGAGAAGCATAGCTCACCTCTAATAAGTTTCTCCTGATCCTTGATGTACTGCCATTTGGCCATCATGGCTTTCTCAACATCATCCCGAGTAACAATTTCTATTTTTTCAAGCTCCTTCTCCTGTTCTTTCAGGTTCGCTAGTAGAGCTCGGATGTGTTCAATCTGTTCAGATTTGAGATGCTGATTCTGGGGGTGGGATAGAGAAGGCGTACTTTTGATGGTTTGAAAAAGTAAAGCTTGCGAAACTCATTCAGGCGTGGGAACGCAAAACCACCCAACAATTTGGAATAATGTTCACTGTCCTTGGATGGTTCCGATGGAAATAATGGACTCTATTTGTGCTTTATTTATTTAGCGGACAGTATTTACATGGCCACCTTTCTCACGAATAGGGCATCCAACACCCTAGTTAAAAATCCCATAGCTATCTAAAATCAATAAAAAAAATAAATAAACAGAGAAAGTAAACAGAGAAAACCCAAGAACTTAGGACAACAGATTCCTGTAAGTGCAAACTTCACTCCCTTCTGGCACTGATGATGTTACCTGGTTTGGTAATGAAACATCTACAAGAAAGCCACCAACTTCAGAGAGCATCAAGAACCCCACAGTGCTCCTCCTCCTCCTCCTCCTCTTTCTCCTCCTCCTTCTTTCCGCAAACCCACTCCCTTCTAGCATTGATGATGCTACCTAGTTGGGTAATGAAAGATGTGTAAGAAAACCCCAACTTCAGAGAGCATCAAGGACCCCTGTTTGATTATTTTGCCTTGGTGCAGAAATATTTTAACCAGTAAGCTGCAGCTCAACTCCAGCCCTATCCCACACAATATGTCACTGCTTCTTTACATAGGATGAACATAACCTTTATTTATTTATTTATCTAGTTTATGTATATAGCCACCCAATGTTGTCATTAATGCAATGAACATGGATTTGGGCAAATTCTGGGAGACAGTGGAGGACAGGGGGCCTGGCAAGCAATGCTCCATGGAATTGCAAAGAGTCGGATATGATTTAGCACCTAAACAACAAAACAGAGCCATCCATCTCACAAAAACATGACCTTAGATCAGTGGTTCTCAACCTTTTTAATGCTGCGACCCCCAACCGGTCATAAGTCGAGGACTACTCAACCGGTCATAAGTCGAGGACTACTCAACTGGTGCAGCATCGTTTGCAGAATGGGACTTTTGGTGGGCTCAGTAGGGCAGAGACAGCCTGGACAATTCCTACTGGCTTTTGAAAGCCAATAGAATTAGACTCTATTCAAGAGAGTCTATTCTATTGGCTTTCAAAAGCCAATAGAATAAAAGGGAGTATCACAGCTAAGGAAAAGAGGAAAAAAATGGCGGACTGCGTTGTTTGGCGACCCCCGTGAAATGGTCGTTCGACCCCAAATGGGGTCCCGACCCACAGGTTGAGAACCACTGCCTTAGACAATAGTTAAAACCTCCATAACAATTTAAAAACAATCAAAATAAATAAACAAAGTAAATGGATAATGTTATGCCCCGAGCCTTGCAAACGGCTCGGGCGTTTGCAGGCAGTCCCGGGCAGGTGCAAAGCTGCCCGGGACCAGACAGGCTGTCGCCAGCGCCGTGCGCATGCGCAGGTGCTGGCGCGGGAAAAGTATCGCATTTACCCGGGAAATGTCTATATAAGAAGCTGGGAGGTTTTGGGAGCTGCTGAAGCCATCTACTTGTAAGCTGAACGCAGAATAAAGAAAACTGAGAACTCCAACTGCTTCTCGTGTCTGCTTCCCGCCAAGGACTCAACAGATAAGACCCAGGAAACTTGGAGAACAGTACAAAACTTCATGTCCTACAATCACCTTGCAGATTCTCTAGACAGGGCTCTTCAGACTTGGCCCTTTTATGACCGGTGGACTTCAGCTCCCAGAATTCCTCAGCCAGCATGCCTGGCTGAGGAATTCTGGGAGTTGAAGTCCATAAGTCATAAAAGGGCCAAGTTTGAAGACCCCTGCTCTAGGATCAACAAGTCTAGTGGGGAAAAAAAAAACATTTTGTAAAGACCTTTTGTAAGGCTGACAGAGATGGGGCTAACGTCATCTTGGGAGGTTATGGGTGGGAGATACATGCCACCAACTGAAACTGTGTTACTCACTAAGCTAGAAAATTCCTGTCGTCATTTGTGATCCCTAACTTGCCAAAGACACAATGCAGGGGAATAGTGCTATCTCGGTTTTGCTGGACGAGGTAATTCAAGGACAAGGATTGGTGGATTCTTGGCAGCCCTCCCCCCGCTCCCAGCAAATGTCAACATCTGGCAGCAAAACATCTGCTAATCGCTCTGCTCCATGTGGGAAGGCATTGGGGAGGAGGGCAAGATTTTACAAAGAGATAGATCAGCAGATTTAGCCATCTGTCAAGGTGTTGCTCCCATTTTGTCCAACTGTTTGGCACAAATGCATTCAGAGGAAGTCTAGAGAAGGGATGTCCAACTTTGGCAACTTTAAGACCTGTGAACTTCAACTCCCAGAATTCCCCAGCCAGCCTGAAGAACTGAAAAAGCTTCTTGGATGAGAAACAAAAAGTATTCAAAGAAAACACTAAGAAAGTCAAGTTGCCTTTTGGGGAAAAAAAAACATTTTTGGGTTAACCTTGACTTGATGGCACATCAATCAGTCAATCCAGAGCATTGCCAATCTCTCCATCTTTAGAAACCTGGAGCCATTGCTGCTTCTCAGAAGCAGTTATTAGACATTTAAAAGCTGGTATGTGAGGAACTGATTCTCAGTTCTATATCAGAAGTCCCCAACCTTTTGAGCACCAGGGACCAGTTCCATGGAGAGAGGTTTTTCCACAGACCGGAGGGTGTGTGATTTTGTGTGCTGCCTGCATCTCACGGATGGGGTTTTGCTTGTTTGTGCAGACCGGTTGCTGGCATGCCGCAGCATGGTACTGGTCCACGGACCGGGAATTGGGGACCCCTGTTCTATATTACAAACAGGTGTTTTGTAACTAAGACAGGATCCCTCCTGAACCAGTAGTGGGATTCAATCGGTTCGCACCAGTTTGGCAGAACCAGTAACTAATTTTTTGTTGCCCAGGCCCAGAATGTACTTCCGGAAGCGGCATCCCCCCAGAGAACCGGTTGTTCACATATTTGAATCCCACCACTGTCCTGAATCACAAGGTGGTTTATTTGCGTGCTTACTCTTTCTTTGCTTCTCTCATTCTCTACTTCCAGTTGCTTGATTTCACCGAGAAGCTGATCAATGACCTCTTCCTTAATCTGAATTCTGAAGGTAATTAAAGACAAAAATAAGCTGTCACGCTTTCAGAAAACACAAGCTCTCTTTGCAAGCAAACAAAGAATACAAGTGGGAGAAACAGGTCGAACATTTGAATTCTTTGCTTCAGGTTTTATTTAAAGGACTGCAGTGAAACCTTGATTCAATGAATGTTGATGCAACAGACCGAAATCCCAATTTTTGCGATCATTTTACCACAATGTTTATCATTTGCAGAATGCAAATGAAATTGAGCAACATAAATGAGGTTATTTGCATTGCCATATACTGATTGAAATGGGCAATTGAGAGTAATGGCTGCCCTGTCATCCCAACAAGTCTGTTAAGCCAGATTTTAATGTGACTAAAATGGAACATGGAAAATATAATCTCATTTGCAAAACACTTTTTCTGCCAACTGATTAATCTCGATGAGCTGGAAGCACACATTTAGTGATGATTTAATCAAGCATTTAACAACTATTTTTGCAGAGTTTCCCATTATTGTATCCCAAAAAAGCTGACGGCTAATAGTTCCTATCCCATTTCTTTATAGTTTTATGCAGAATGAGGAAAAAATAAGATAAATCAACCATGCACCCCCAAAGTAGACATAATTGTGGGAAGAACCATTTTTTGCTGCTTTTTCATTCCTCAGTGTATTAAAGAAGTCCACTAAACTTTAAGTATTGTGGACTTCAACTCCCAGAATGGCTGCCTAAGAAATTCTGGAAATTTAAGTCCACATGTGGCAGCTGAGATGTAGTTCTTAGTAGGGCCTTGTTTTGTGTGTACCCTCTAGGACTTGGAGTGATCATGAAATTTGAGTTTGATCATGGATCTGGAGTTTCATCGTGGAGGGGACAGAATTAATTAACTCAGTGGCCAGCAATGGCAACTTAGATGTAGTTCCTAGCAGGGCCCTGCTTTGTGTGTACCATCTAGGACTTCAAGTCTAGGACTTGAAGTGATCATGGAGGGGTAACATTAGTTAACCCAGTGGTCAGCTGGGGAATAAATTTAACACAGCCTAGACTGGAATTAAATCTAATCAGGTTCAATGGTTATTCAGTTGAATCTTTGACTCTGCTTATTTATTTACAGGTCAACACTCTATGCCTGTTGAATCTCTTGGACAGCGAGACAAAATATTATAGAAAAATAATTTTCAAACTTTTTCAGGCTGTGAAAATAATTAGACAAAAAGTAATCACAGAATCCTCAACCAGGAGGCAAAGCTCTAAAAAAGGGGGGGGGCTATGTTTCGAGTGAACCTTTTCTTTCTCTTGGTCTCTTATGAAATTCCATCAAGCTCATATGAAATCTTTAGGTTCCCTGCTGTAGTGAATATATTTCCCAGAACATGGGCTGATTTATTTGTTACCAAACAATAAAGTCATTATGAAAAAATGCCAGTGACTACCGTATATCAAATGCAAAGTTCTATTTTTAACTGTCAAGAGTTTAAATTTTGTGCATTTTTTTCTCCTGCCTGCTCTACGTAAAAGCTACCAGTGATTTTGGATAAGAGAAACCATTTCCATCAGTTTGTGTGAACCACATTTTATAATTCCCCCTTCCCCTTAACACTCCCCTGTTAAGTGTTGCATACACATTGGCTCTCTAAATTAAAATATTTACTTTTAACTTCAAAGCAGTTTATTATCTTCCTGTATATTCTGCTGATTTATAATTTGGCTTTCCTGCGATTAGATTTCCGCTCTGTTCCACTGGTTGGAAAAACAGTCTTAGACTAAACTTTGCACAGGAATTTAGATCTTAGCATGATGTTATGGTTCCGGCTAATGAAACACTTGAAAGAACTTCCAGGCATTTATTTTCCTAAAAGTCTTTTATTGTTGCAAAATGTCGACACATGCATAATGGAGAGATGCTAAGATCTAAATTCTCTTCCTCAGGGCAGTTAAATTATCAGCATGTTCCCTCACTAAATTAGCCATAATATATCACATTATCCAATTAGTGTGAAGGTCAAAGGTTTCCTTCCTCTTTCCTTCCCGGGCTTTACCCCCACCCCTCCTGCTCTGTATTAACCCCATAAATACCAGACAGTTCTGCCTATTGTCAAAAGCAAAAATATACAATATTTGCAGCGTTGACACCTGGTTTTGAATTGTCATTCTTATTTTTGACTGGTTTGGAAGCTTACAATTCCTTGTACCAATTAAGTCTGAGCTCTTGGAGAAAGTGTGGGATATAAACCTAATTGATAAATAATGGAAATACATCAAAAGATAACTGGGGGAATTCTCACTAACAGCTCAAGGAAAGCTTAGCACAGAAATGTAATTGACTATCAAACAATAAAGTAATCCTAGAAAATGGTAGATGCGAGAAGACAAAATTTAATGAAATGTTCTACAAGAAGACATGGAAGAATGGCAAGAATCATGAACACAAACATGTTACAATTGTCATCCTAATAACCAATAACTGAAAAAAGTAGAGATAGTCCTTGACTTACAACTGTTAACTTAGCAACTATTCAAAGTTATGACGGATCCTGAAAAACACATTTATGACTCGGATTCAAAGTTCTGACAGCCGCCCACCCTCCCTCTAGTCACGTGACTACATTTTGGATGCTTGACAACAGGTCTGGCTGTTTGCAGCATCCCACAATCATTATGATATTTTGCAGTGGGGTTGGACTAGAAGACCTCAAAGGTCCCCTCCAACTCTGTTATTCTGATAGTTTTTAAAAACAGCAGAAAACGGGATTTTTTTTTTATTGTGTTCAGTCATTGTAAATCCTACGTTTTAAAATGGTTTTTTGCTGGAAGAAAGTATTTTTTTTTGCCAGTAAAAATATTTTTTTTTAAATTCTGTAAAAGTAAATAATTAGTATTTACTTTTAGCATCTGGCAAAAAAACACCCATTGGATAGAATTGGTTCACTTAACAACCATCATATTCATTTAAGGACTGTTGCATTTGTTTAATAACTATGGCATTTGTTTAATGGCCAAAGTGTTTGTTTCATGACCACTGGAAAACAAAAAACAGAAAAACCCATGACTTCAACAACTATAATTCCAGGCTCAATTACAGTCGTAAATTGAGGATTACCTCTATAGATCTACTCCTGCCATCCTATAAGTTCAACTGGATAGAGAATAGTAGTATTGCTATCCCACAAATAGGTAGTCAGTTCACGAAATAGAGCTAAAGTAAAATTTTGAATTTTTTACGACTTATACATACTGAAATGCCAACAGGGCTTCTGGAAAATAGGTTCTAGGCTCTTTGGATATTTGTGAGATCCCTTTTTTCTTTTTATCCTTCTTCTTTTCCTTTGCCATGGCTTATGTCTTTAGGAGGTCAAATAAATCTAGAGATCAAGAAAGATAATACATTAAGACAGCACCTAAGCAGTGGGGCTGGTGATTCCAACACAATCCTACTGAGATTTCTGAGAAATCTTTTCTACTATTAATATTGATTTCCTGAGGATGAGGTACAGACTGCAGACTAAATAATTATTTATTTAGCTTTCCTCATTATCTTTAGAACAGTTCTAGGAGAAAGGCCTATTTATGAATTGAAAGCTAAGTTTTGGAAATGTTTATGGAGATTCTCAGTCACAGTTCTCCCAACGGTGCTTTCTCAAAAGGCAACTGGACTTTCTTTGTTTTTCCCTGAAGACTTTTCACTTCTCATCCAAGAAGCATCTTCAGTTCTTTTTCAGAACTGAAGAACCTTCTTGGATGAGAAGCGAAACATTTTCAAGGGAAAAAACCCCAAGAAATTCCAGTTGTCTTTTGAAAAAAGCACTTTTCGGATAAGTTTTGGAAAGCAAATCTCCAGTGGGTGCAAACTTTAATTATTACTGCTTGGGTTGAATAAACATTTGCAACCCATTTTAACCAAAGGAGTTGAATAAAAGGCACATTTGTCGTTTTCAGGGCTGATATGCGAATATCAATAAGGAATGAAAAAAAGATGAGAGCTTTACACGGTTATAACGTAAAACAGGTTTTTGTATAACTTCGAAACACCAAGATTTTCACCCCACTAATGAATTCCTTCTATCATAACTAAAATGAAAGAAGATAAAACTTTTATTCTGTCCAGCTTTTGAAGATCTAAAATGGCTGGTCTGGGATTTAAAAAAATGAATATAAAGTAAATTCACAATTCTGGCTTGTTGCATATGTGAGAGAAGGTGCATCTTTCAAAAAATTGTTTGATTTCTTTCTGATTTCTCCATCATGGAGATTTTTAAGAAGGGACTCAAGAGTCATTTGTCTGAAATGGTGTAGGGCAGTGGTTCTCAACCTTTTTAATGCCGCGACCCCCAACTGGTCGTAAGTCGAGGACTACTCAACTGGTGCAGCACCATTTGCAGAATGGGACTTTTGGCGGGCTCAGCAGGGCAGAGACAGCCTGGACAATTCCTATTGGCTTTTGAAAGCCAATAGAATTAGACTCTATTCAAGAGAGTCTATTCTATTGGCTTTCAAAGCCAATAGAATAAAAGGGAGTAGCACAGCTAAGGAAAAGGGGAAAAAAATGGCGGACTGCGTTGTTTGGCGACCCCCGTGAAATGGTCGTTCGACCCCAAATAGGGTCCCGACCCACAGGTTGAGAGCCACTGGTGTAGGGGGTTGGACTAGAAGACCTCCAAGGTTTCTTCCAACTCTGTTATTCTGTTCTGTTCTTCTTCTCAATCCTTAAGAAGTCCATTTAATGATTTCAGAATGCTCTGGGTTTTTAAAGTAGAAAAAACATATCTTGGCTGTTGTTCCCAGTTCTTTATTTATGCTAAAAAGCAAACGAAAACTCAAACACAAACCCTGTTTCTGGAATTGAGATACGCTCCCCTTTAAAAAAATATTTTTTCCCAATTAGAAATGATCGTGTTGTGTGTCAAAAGCAATCATGATTCTTCCAGATGACAATCCAAAATAAGGGAATGGAATGTACTACAAATATCTTTGTTCGCCCCAAATACCACAGTTATGGAGTTTGCTGTCCAAGTGTGATTGTCCCCTGAAGAATTCCAAAATGTGGAACATATGGCAACACTTTAATAAAATAACATATTACAAATATTACTTCACAAACAGTACAGCATTTTATTAGAACACACTGTAAAGTATTGAATGCATTTATTTCATATAGACATGCAATGTTTTTAATTAGGTAAGCTGCTTTATGAGAAACATCCAGATTTGGTCAGCCTTACCCTAGTCCCTCTAAAATTAAAAGAATTTGAGGTACATGTTATAATTTAACTGTATGTAATTTAACTATATAACATAACTGTGAGAGGGACCTTGGAGTTCTAGTGGACGATCACTTGACTATGAGCCAGCGGTGTGCAGCAGCAACTAAAAAAGCTAATACAATCCTGGATTGTATAAACAGAGGGATAGAATCAAGATCACACGAAGTATTAGTACCACTTTATAAAACCCTAGTAAGACCAGAGCTGGAATACTGCAACCAATTTTGGTCACCATACTACAAAAAAGATGTTGAGACCTTGGAAAAAGTTCAGAGAACAGCAACTAAAATGATCAAAGGCCTGGAGACTAAAACATATCAAAAACGGCTGCAGGACTTGAGTTTGGCTAGTCTAAAGAAAAGAAGAAACAGGGGCGACATGCTAGCAGCATTCCAGTATTTGAGGGGCTACCACAAAGAAGAGGGAGTCAACTATTCTCCAAAACACCAGAAAGCAGGACAAGAAACAATGGTTGGACATTAACCAAAGAGAGAAGCAACCTGGAATTAAGGAGAAAATTCCTAACAATGAGGAACAACTTGCATTCAGAAACCATGGGTGCTCCATTATTGGAGGTTTTTAAGAAGGGATAGACAGTCACTTGTCTGAAATGGTATAGGTTCGAGTAGGGGCTGGACTAGAAGACCTCCAAGACCCCTTCCAGCTTCTATTCTATTCTATTCTATTCTATTCTATTCTATTCTATTCTATTCTATTCTATTCTAGTTCTGTTCTGTTATTTCTGTTCTGTTCTATTTCTATTTCTATTCTGTTCTATTCTAATTCTATTCTATTGTTGAAAGAAAAATCTTCATCAGGGTCCAGTCCAAGCAGGGAATAAACACAATGAGACTGCTTTAGAAAGAAGATTGTAGTTTATTGAAGAGCAAAGCCAGACAGAAGCATGGCTCTGGGAAAGCTGACCACATGTTGCTGGGAGTGGTGGGTTTTTTATACCTTCTTGGGCTATTCTATTCTATTCTATTCTATTCTATTCTATTCTATTCTATTCTATTCTATTCTATTCTATTTCTTTTCCATTCCATTCCATTCTTTATTGTCTCATTGCGTTCAGTATATCTCACAAATAACTTAGCTTGCATGCTGCTATTCCAGGCAGCAATCAGAAGACATTTTAAATATAGAAGAGAATGAAAAGAACTGAGATAAGAACATACTTCCTTTAAACAGGAATTAGGTTGCTTCAGGTTTTGCATGAAGAAAGAAAGAAAGAAAGAAAGAAAGAAAGAAAGAAAGAAAGAAAGAAAGAAAGAAAGAAAGAAAGGAAGGAAGGAAGGAAGGAAGGAAGGGGAACAGACAAAAGAAAGACAGGAAGAATGGAAAGAAGGGGAAAGTGAGCATGAAAGAAGAAGGAAAGAAGATAAGAAAGAAGGAAGGAAAAGGGGAAGAGAAAGGGGCAAAAGAAAAAAGAGAAAGTAGGAAAAGAGGATGGATGGATGATGGAAGGAAGAAGAAAGAAAGGGGAAGGAGGGAGGGAGGGAGGGAGACAGACAAAAGGAAGACAGGAAGAGTGGAAAGGAGAAAGGTAGAAGTGAGCAAGAAAGAGGGAGGAAGGAAAGAAGATAAGAAGGAACGAAGGAAAAGGGGAAGTGACAAAAGAAAGAAGAGAAAGGAAGGAAAGAGGATGGATGGATGATGGAAGGAAGAAGAAAGAGAAAGGAAGGAAGGAAGGAAGGAAGGAAGGAAGGAAGGAAGGAGAAAGGGAGACAGACAAAAGGAAGACAGGAAGAGTGGAAAGGAAAAAGGTAGAAGAAAGAGAGAGGAAGGAAAGAAGATAAGAAGGAAGGAAGGAAGGAAAAGGGAAGGGACAAAAGAAAGAAGAGAAAGAAAGGAAAGAGGATGGATGGATGATGGAAGAAAGAAGAAAGAGAAAGGGGAAGGAAGGAAGGAAGGAAGGAAGGAAGGAAGGAAGGAAGGAGAAAAGGAGACAGACAAAAGGAAGACAGGAAGAGTGGAAAGGAGAAAGGTAGAAGAAAGAGAGAGGAAGAAAAGAAGGAAGGAAGGAAGGAAGGAAGGAAGGAAGGAAGGAAGGAAGGAAAAGGGGAAGGGACAAAAGAAAGAAGAGAAAGGAAGGAAAGAGGATGGATGGATGATGGAAGGAAGAAGAAAGAGAAAGGGGAAGGAAGGAAGGAAGGAAGGAGAAAAGGAGACAGACAAAAGGAAGACAGGAAGAGTGGAAAGGGGAAAGGTAGAAGAAAGAGAGAGGAAGAAAAGAAGATAGGAAGGAAGGAAGGAAGGAAAAGGGGAAGGGACAAAAGAAAGAAGAGAAAGGAAGGAAAGAGGATGGATGGATGATGGAAGGAAGAAGAAAGAGAAAGGGGAAGGAAGGAAGGAAGGAAGGAGAAAAGGAGACAGACAAAAGGAAGACAGGAAGAGTGGAAAGGGGAAAGGTAGAAGAAAGAGAGAGGAAGAAAAGAAGATAGGAAGGAAGGAAGGAAGGAAGGAAGGAAGGAAGGAAGGAAGGAAGGAAGGAAGGAAGGAAGGAAGGAAGGAAGGAAGAAAGGAAGGAAATTTTGCCACCCTTCCTCCCATCTCCCTTTCCCGTTGCCAATGCAGGCGCCCACCGAACTTTCCCTCCTGCTCAGCAGCGCCGCCCTCCCGCCCTGCAGGGGAACCGCCTTACCCAATTTCTCCTTCTTGGAGGAAGATGGGAGGAGGGAATTCTGCTTCCAGCTGCTGCCTTTTGATTGGCTGCCACTGCAAACTTTGCTAGTTGCCGGGTAACTGCGCTAAGATAGTCCAAGGAGCATACGGTCGGTCTCTTCCTGTGTGTCTTTCTTTTTAACGGGAAAACGGCTCCCTCTTGTGTCACTGTTTAAAAACTGCCGTAAATTAGACGCTAATGAAGAAAGTTACGGGCTAATTAAAAAAAAGTCTTATTTTTTAATTTGGTCTTCAAAAACAGAGTCATTGCTTTTGTTTCCTCTGAATAATAACAGTGACCATGCAATATTTTCTTGGAAATAAAATAAAGAACAAAGCTGAAAAAGAGGCAAATTTGAAAGAGGTTCACAAGGATAACAAATGTTTATATAACGTACCTTACAAAGGAAAATTCAAGAGCAAAAACAAGGAAAGAATTATTTAATAACTCTAGAGGACTGCTTTCTGAAATAAAGAACTATCCTTTATAATAAAGGATATATGGTTGCTGTTCTCTATGTATACATATTCCAATATGTCCATGTAATTATTTTTTTCTCTTTTATACAGCTTTTATTGGCTCATTATTTTTATTGTGTTTAGGTGCATTTTCCTTTCTTTTATAGTCAAATCAATTTTTTAAAAAAACAGCCTTGAAAAAAACTCAAAGGACGGGACATACCAAGATTCTGGATGACTCTCAATCAACTACTACCTGAACAATTTTAATTTTTTAATCATCTCCCTTTGGCTCATTTGCTACAGTGCTTTAATTTCTGCTTCAACAACTTAAGAGTTTTTTGGTTTTTTTTAGAAATTTTAATTCTACCCTTTTGCAGAGAATAGGTTGATAACAAATTTTACTTTATAAAGGAAGAAAGAAAGGAATGAAAGCGAGGAGAAAGGCAGAAGGAAGGAAGGAAGGAAGGAAGGAAGGAAGGAAGAAGGAAGGAAGGAAGATCTCCTCAGAAATAAATTGTGAAGGCAAATATCTACTCTTGCCAGATTTACTTATTTATTTATTGGGTTTACATGGCTGCCTATCTTATACAATGACTATAGGTGGCTTACCACAATCCATCAAACATGGTTTAAAACACTGTGGTACTAAACCAAACATCCTCCCAGCTCAACTCTCCCCAATGCTAGCCCAATGCTTGGTGAAAAAGCTGCCTGGGGGATTCTGGGAATTGAAGTCCACATATCTTAAAGTTGCTAAGGCTGAGAAACACTAGTTTTCCTCTTATTTAATAATTCTCCATTTACTCATGAATGTTATTTTGTTCAGGAGAAGCATCCCCCTTTTGCTACATTCATCCCCTATCAAAGCAAAAGAGATTTAAGGGCCGAATATCTTGGTAAACAAAACATTATAGTCCAGTGATTTGGCATGAACCTCTCTTACAGTTCCCAAACAGTCCAATTTTCTTATCAAGTAAAAACATGTTTAAATATTTATTTAGCAGGAGGAGGCAGTTATTCTTGTCAGTTGGCTCATGACCTCAATTCCTTTTGGGTGGATTTCTCTTCCATGAAAGCTGAGTTAGCACATACTCCAGCTACACTAAAATAGGAATTGGCCGGCTTGTGGTCACCTCTATAACAAAATAAAAGACAGTAAGTTGCTTGTGTTACTAAAGCTGGGAGTTTAAACTACACCCCCAGCTTTGATTGATCAAATCCTTCCATCCAATTAAATGAGTTTTTTAGATTTAAAGACAGAAACGGGAAGACAAGGAAAGCTTATTTGCGTTGACAAGGAGTCAGATTAGTCACACCATTATACCAAGATGCATTTTTAAAATTTAAAATAGTTGCACAAAACTCTAAACCCCACAACCAAATAACAGGTGACCACAGGGTACCATATAACAACAACAACAACAATAAAGTCTGGATAGTGGACGTGGCAGTGCCTGGAAACAGCAGAATAGATGAGAAAGAACTGGAGAAGATAACAAAATACAAAGACCTACAAATAGAAATAGAAAGACTGTGGCAAAAGCAAGCAAGGGTAGTACCAATAGTCATAGGCTCCTTGGGTGCAATCCCAAAACAACTGGAGCACCACTTGGACACCATTGGCATTGACAAATTCGCCATTAGTCAATTGCAAAAGGCGGCCTTACTAGGAACTGCCTCCATCCTGTGACAATATCTGTAATAACATCAAACATTCACATCTGCCTATCCCAGGTCCTTGGTAAGGACTCGATAGGCAGACAAAATGCCAAATCCAGTCTACAATGATCAATAATAATAATAATAATAGTAATAATAATAATAATAATAATAATAATAATAATAATAATAATAATAATAATAATAATAATAATAATAATAATAATGTTGGAAGGGACCTTGGAGATCATCTAAGGTCCAACCCCCTGCTTAGGCAGGAAACCCTATACCATTTCAGACAAATGGCTGTCCAGTCTCTTCTTAAAAACTTCCAGTGTTGGAGCATTCACAGCTTCTGGAGGCAGGTTGTTCCACTGGTTAATTGTTCTAACTGTCAGGAAGTTTCTCCTTAGTTCTAGGTTGCTTCTCTCCTTCATTAGTTCCCATCCATTGCTTCTTGTCCTGCCTTCAGGCGCTTTGAAGAATAGCTTGACTCCCTCTTCTTTGGGGCAGCCCCTGAGATATTGGAAGACTGCTATCATGTCCCCCCTCATCCTTCTCTTCATTAAACTACTAGACATACCCAATTCCACCAACCGTTCCTTATATGTTTTAGCCTCCAGTCCCCTAATCATCTTTGTTGCTCTTCTCTGTATTCTTTTAATCTCCTTCTCCCTTTTTGTTCAGGTATGTCACCAAGAGGTCTGAGGTTGTCCTTGAAATCTGATAGCCATAACTTTGGGTTCAAGGAAAACAGAAGTTGTAGCTAAGTTATTATTATTATTTTTTAAAAAATCCATGTTCTAAAAGCACAAAATAGCAATTGCTTCAGGCTGGGATGAGTTGATGAAGCTCAAAGCCTAGAAAAGACCAAGGAATGGGTGGTGATAGAATTAAGTTGGTGGCACACATGTTAATATGACTTGTAAGATTAGATTGGATTGTATAATTGGACAACCACTTGTCTGGAATCCCAAAGATGCTTTTTCTTGAGGCAACTGGACTTTCTTGTTTGTTTGTTTTTTGAAGACCTTTCACTTCTCATCCAAGAAGCTTCATCAGCTCTGACTGGATGGTGAGGGATAGAAAGATTTATACTCCTGCAGACAGATGCAGCATCTTTGGGATAACTGTGACCTGGATGACTGAGAATCTCCATAGACACTTGTCCAGAATATTTTAAAGATTCCCGCTTTGATCAGGAGGTTGGACTAGAAGACCTCCAAGGTCCCTCTTAGCCTTATGATTCTATTCTATCAAATCTGAAAAGAATTGAATTCAGTGAGTTATGGAAACATGTTTTTCTTTTGGGTAAAGACATTCAAGATTCCAGGTGGCTTCCACTGAGTCATTTATTAAACTATCTGTTCTTTTCAAGCTGTATTTTGTGGCTTGACTGGTGCTACCACATTCTCTACAAGGAAATCACCTCCTTCAACATCAATATTTACCAAAGGTTCTTTTTTTTCTTCTTTTTTTAACTTAGTGCAGATAGACTGTTTTGCTTTCTGCTGCAGTTTGTTCACCTTCCAATCAAATTGGTTATGCAACGACAACACAGTTTGTCTTGAAACTGGGCTTCATTGTGGTTTTCCTAGCTATTCTGGGCAGTTGGTAAGTAGATCATGGGATTCTGAAGTATACCTCAGCTGCTTTGAGACTTCTAGTTTGGCCCCACCAGCACGCATGTTAGCTGCAGAATTTGCCCAAATTCATGTTCATTGCATCAACGACATGATCTAACCATCTCATCTTCTGCTGTCCCTTTCTCCTTTTACCGTCCATCTTCCCCAACATCCGGGTCTTTTTCCAAGGAGTCCACTCTTCTCATTTGGTGGCCAAAGTATTTGACCTTCAGCTTCAGGATCTGCCCTTCCAAAGGACAATCAGGGTTGATTGGATTGGATCTCCTTGCAGTCCAAGGAACTCTGAAGAATATCTGATATAAAAATCCCAGATGGAAAATGTATGTCCTTTCTACATCCACTTGGGACTTTTTATCAATGTTGTAGAAAGCTTGATCACTAACAATCCCTGTGTTAAGAGCAGGGGGTCTTCAAACCTGGCCCTTTTTTGACTTGTGGACTTCAACTCCCAGAATTCCTCAGCCAGCATGGGGGAACTATGGCCCCTTCATGACTTGTGGACTTCAACTCCCAGAATTCCTCAGCCAGTATTGGGGAACTATGGCCCCTTCATGACTTGTGGACTTCAACTCCCAGAATTCCTCAACCAGCATGGGGGAACTATGGCCCCTTCATGACTTGTGGACTTCAACTCCCAGAATTTCTCAGCCAGCATGCCTGCCTGAGCAATTCTGGGAGTTGAAGTCCACAAGTCATAAAAGGGCCAAGTTTGAAGACCCCTGGTGTTAGAAGTTTCATTTGTTGCTTAAAGCTGCAGCTCCCGTTTATACACTTATATTCCAAGACGATGTATTATTGTTATTAGTGTTTTCTTTTTAAGCTCAGTTTTATTTTCGCATTTTGATTCAACTTTGTATTTGGAATCTGTTTTTCTTTTGTTAACATGTTATTACCAGCACTAAAAAAAAAGAGACACACTTCTTTTAATGTACCTTACAGTTATAAAGCTAAGGAAAAAAGAGCAAAAAAGACAAGGCAGAGACGGGATATCCAGAGAACAATTTGTTTCTTTTTTCTTTTGGCTTTGTTTATCATATATTGTGAAATTTGAACTGAGGTCTGTGGGTCTCAGAAGATTTCTTTAATAACTATGTTTTAGGAAAACTAGATGGGCTCCATATTCATATGGAATGTCAATGAGGTTCTGTATTCTGCATAAATGTAATAATTCAGACAACACAATTAACCTGAGCTAATGAATTAATCCATTTTCTGACTTCATGCAATCCACGGAAACATAAATGGCCAAACTGGCTGTGCTTCTATTGTATGCTCAATTATTAAAAAAAAAAAAATCAAGATTAATCCTAAAATAAGCATTGCATGTTGTGTGAAAGCAGCCATAAAGACTTTTGTTGACCTGAGTTTAAGGTTTAAGATTATTATTGTGTGGCAGAAATG